GAGAGAGAGAGAGAGAGAGAGAGAGAGAGAGAGAGAGAGAGAGAGAGGGGCATGCAAGTGCATCTGCAGGTGTCCATGTCCGTGTAAGTGCATGGGAAGCTAAAGGAAAGGGTATCCGGTATCTTCCTCAGTCATTCTCTGTCTTATCCTTATCTCACTGACTGTCAGCTAGGCTGGCAGGCCAGCAAGCCCTCAGGATCCTTTTCCCCAGTGTTACAGTTTTAGGCATGTGCATTGTACCTAGCTTTTTACATAGGGATCATCTTCTCAGTCCTTTTTTACATTTCAAGACAAAGTATCTCATTGTCCAGGCTGTCTTTTAACTTGTCATCCTCTAGTCTCTGCTTCTTTAGCATTTTCATTTGCCATGCACTACCACAACCAGCCACCTCTTCTTGACTCAGTTATATTTGGTGACTGTGTTAATATATGTAAGATTTAGCTGTCAGCCATCCTAAACCATGTTTTGTTTGTTTTTTGTTTTTGTTTTCTTTAAGAGAGGGTTTCTCTGTGTAGCCTTGGCTGTTCTGGAACTCACTCTGTAAACAAGACCTTGAACTCATAGAGATCCACCTACCTGTGCATCCTGAGTGCTGGGATTAAAGATGTGTGCCAACACCACCCAGCTAACTAAACTATATTTTAACCTCATTCACACATAGTGATTATTTTTTGCTTGTTTGTTGCTGTCTTGATATTTGAGATAGGGTTTTACTGTGTAACTGACGAGGACCTGAAACTTGAGATTTTCAGCTTTCTGAGTACTGGTAATTATGTATCACGACCCTCAGAGAAATAAAAACTTCTTTATTCCTTAATTACAATATTTTTAGGAAAAAAAAATGTTGTCTGTTATTGGAATGTAGGTATACAATGATGCTCATATCCTGGAGAAGTTACTCAAAGATAAAAGGAAAGAGCTGGGACCTTTGCCTGACGATGATGACATGGCTTCTCCCAAACTTAAGCTGAGTAAGTCTGCCTTATATTTTGCTCTCAATTTAGTCTGTCAAAGAGAGATTGCTGGTTTCTTGACATTTCTTTAATTAAATGGTGAATATGTTTTTATTCACTGACACTGCTATTAGGTATCTTTTTTTACATTTACACTCTTTGTGTTTTAAGTAAGAGTGTAAGAATAAGTAAGAGTATAAAGTTAGTTAGCTTTTTTGCTGATGAGAATAAGTATATCAGACAGTTAAAATGAGATCGGATTCATTTTGCTACAACTGCAGAGTTCAGTCTCCATTGTTTGTGAGCTGTAGTAAAGTAGAGTATCGTGTAAAGACACAGAGTTGTAGATTTGCTTAGCTTATGGTAGACAAGGAGCAGAGAGAGACATGATTTAATCAAGGATAAGACACCCTTCAAGGCACTCGACCAGAGACCCACTTAACTCCAACCCAGCCCATCTCCCAGCACTGCCATCAGATTATGACTCCATCAGTTGATCTGTTAATAAAAGCAGCACTCTCATGCTCGGTACCTCTCAGTCATTGTATCTTCCAGCTTGGTTCTAAATCTTTCATGAGGAACTTTTCAAGGTATGCTTTATGTCCAAATCATTTAAAAAAGGAACTTGAATATCAATGGCAGAGGTTTTCCTTGCTTTCTTGAATGCAGTGGGTAATATAGCCATTGACTGGGAAGACTATTCTTTATCTGAAGCCAGAAAAAAGAATATGGCAGGTTTTGTTAATGTTTATTTGGTGTTACATAAAATTAAAAATGAATCCCAACAACTCTACTGGATAAAATTTGGGAAGTGAGGGCTGGAGAGCTGACTCAGCAGTTAAGAGCACTGGCTGCTCTTCCAGAGGTCCTGAGTTCAATTCCCAGCAACCACATGGTGACTCACAACCATCTGTAATGGGATCCTGTGCCCTCTTCTGGTGTGTCTGAAGACAGGTACAGTGTACTCATACACATAAAATAAATAAATAAATCTTAAAAAAAAAAATTAGAAAGTGAGAAATGTACTACTCAGGGACCGCTTGAGCAACCTGTGTGGATATGATTTATCAAAAGTTTTAAAGGAAAAGAACACAGAAAAAAAAAAAAAGTCATTGCATTAAAGAAGCTATTTCTGAATTATTTAATATAAATGAAACAATTGTAAGCAAACAATAACAACAGATAATCTTAAACAAATGCTAAGCAAGCAATAACAATGTCAAATCTTTAGAGTTGTGTTTACTGGAAAGGACAAAGACAAGCATCTTTTTAATTTAAATTACCTATAAACTGAATTTCTTCATTGCTTTGTAAATTGCTGCTACATGACAATTCCTTGTCACTATGGAATTCTTCTTTTCATGTAATTATAAAAGCAGACACATAGTCAGATATGGCGGTGCATGCCTGTAATCCCAGCCCTTGGGAACTGGAGGCAGGAAGAACAGAAGTTCAAGGCCAGGCCCAGCTATATAGTTTGAGGTCAGCCTGGGCTACTTGAGACTCTTTTCTATAGCCAGACTAGTTTGGGGCATCCTGTTACTGAGTTGGTCATCATTTCTAGGAATTTCCATGAATGGAACTAGGATACATGTGACTTCATATTTAGAAGTAAAATATAGTAAACTACGTTAATACTTTGATATTTAAGTTTTAATAATTTTATTAACACTTAAGTTTGTTTCAACAACTTTGTCTTTTTCCTGAAGTGAAATTCTCAGTTCTTGGGGATGTCAGAGGTGATAAATCAGAATGTCGGAGATACTCATTTGTTTAGCCCATTCACAGCTATCTCAGCATGAAAGTATTTGCTCTCACATCAAAATACAGTGACGAGCTTTTGTGTCATTTTTATAGCTTTAACTCCAGCCCTGAGGGGCTGGGGCAGGAGGATTCAAAGCCCATCTGTGTTATATAAGACTTAGTCTCAAAAAAGTTTATATACATATGTAAATTTTATTTATATGTAAATTTATATAAATAAAATATAAATATATTACTGAAGGGTAAAAGTTTTCTTCCAGATCTATTTTTGTCTATAAGATCTGTCTTACTAAAGACATCCTGAATAATGTGGTTTTACAACTCATTTCGGCTAACCTCTTTCTATGGTTGTGCTATCAGCTCTGTAAAAATGTATGCTTATGCCACTTTATCCACTTAGCTTTACATTACATCTCTCTCTTCAGGTAGGAAGAGTGGTGTTTCTCCTAAGAAATCAAAGTACATGACTCCGATGCAGCAGAAACTGAATGAAGTGTATGAAGCTGTAAAGAACTATACTGATAAGAGGGGTCGCCGCCTCAGTGCGATATTCCTAAGACTCCCCTCTAGATCAGAGCTGCCTGACTACTATCTGACCATTAAAAAGCCCATGGACATGGAAAAAATTCGAAGTCACATGATGGCAAACAAGTACCAAGATATAGATTCTATGGTAGAGGACTTTGTCATGATGTTTAATAATGCCTGTACCTACAATGAACCAGAGTCTTTAATCTACAAAGATGCCCTTGTCCTACATAAAGTCCTCCTTGAAACTCGTAGAGACCTAGAGGGAGATGAGGATTCTCATGTTCCTAATGTGACCTTGCTGATTCAAGAACTTATCCATAATCTTTTTGTGTCAGTCATGAGTCATCAGGATGATGAAGGAAGATGTTACAGTGACTCCTTAGCAGAAATTCCTGCTGTGGATCCGAACTTTCCCAACAAACCTCCCCTTACATTTGACATTATTAGGAAGAATGTTGAAAGTAATCGATATCGGCGACTCGATTTATTTCAGGAGCATATGTTTGAAGTATTGGAAAGGGCAAGAAGGATGAATCGGTATGTTTTCAAAGTCATTTCTTTATGATAAATACATGTGATTTTTAATGCAAAACAGAAAAGAGAATTATGCTTTGATAAACTTTTTCTGCTTAGGTACATGGTTATAGTAGGTAAGCCTTCTCTCCTGAATTCTTGGTAGGCAAAACTTCTGCTTTTTTTCCCCTTCTTTACAGTGTTGGAGGGGTCAAAACTTGTAAAGAGGGGGTCGGACGGTGGTCACCTTTAACTCCCAACATTCAGGAGGCAGAGGCAGGTAGATCTCTTGAGTTCAAGAACGGCCTGGTCTATAGACCAGACAGTGTGAGGACAGCCAAGGCCACACAGAAAAACTATGTCTAACAAAAAACAAACAACAACAAACAACTTGTAAAGAGCACATGTATTCTATGAAGTAGAAAGAGCACTACTAAGTTGTCGTCATAAGGGCCAGTGAGAGGAGTCAGAACTGAAGCTCTTACATAAAGCAAGTAGGATTTTTTTTCTTTGAAAATTAGTCTCAGAATGTTTTGAATGAATTAAAGAGCTTGGAGTTATTCTTTGAAGATAAACTAGTCTTAAGTCAATCACTTTTTTAAAAACTTATTTTTATTTAATGTGTACTGAGATATCCTGCCTGCATGTATGTCTATGCAGCACATATGCCTAGTGCCCATGAGGCCAGAAGAGGGTGTTGGTTTCTTTGGGACTTGAGTTACAGACGGTTGTTACCTACTATGCGGGTGCTGTAACTCAAACCAGGATCCTCTGGAAGAACACCAGTGCTCCTTCTCCAGCCCCCCCTCAATCTCTATTTCAAAGTACTTAAGAAGGCCTTTTGTTTTTTATCTTATTTATCAATTTAAGAGTTTAGTGTAGAACTAACTATAAATGGTTTAAAAGAATAAATTTACATTTGCTAAAAATTCCTTCAACTTTTTGGCCTATGTATATCTTTGACACTTACTGGAAGAATAACCCAGTATAATCCAGCAATTGCAGTATAAATTCTATATGACTCTTATAGACGCATGGTTAAATTGAACTTAAAGATAGTAAATCCTGCCTTCTTGTGCCTTACAATGTTGAAGTACTGAGAGCTAGAACTTTAGGCTGTTTAATTCCATCGAGGAGATCTTTGCTATGGACCTTGAAGGAAAAGTAAATACTAATGTTTGCTTTTCCTAGTGACAGCTTTTGTAAAGCATTATGGTGAAGCCCTTCATGAAGATAGTCTCTAACTCATCTATGCTTTTCTAGGAAACTGATAATCTTTTCAGTTTTCATGTGAAGAATTGGAGATGTGCAAGCAGAAAAATTCATAATCTAACAGCTACTAGGTGATATGCCTTGGCTTGTTTCCCACTGAGAACACTGCTGCTGACAGTCACCAGTTATGGAACACAGACATAAATGTGAAGTAGCATATTTAACCCAACACTTAGAAAAGACAGTCATGTAAGAAACTTGTAGGCCAGAGTTTACCTAAAAAGGCACAAAGTATTATGAAAGAGTTGGAGGATGAATAGAGAGGCTGATAGTTCACATATGATAAATGGTACAAAGAAAGGAAAAGGTTAGGGTGTGACTATGCTGTGTTCCAGAGTTTGAGGTGGATCCTTGTGTAGAACTAGGGATAGAAATAAAGAGGAAAGTGGAGTTATCTTACAGTCAAATTGTATATGAGGTTTCATTCAAGTAATTTTTGTTGGGTGACTACTAGTTAGTGAGCATGTTCTAGGTTCATGGGATGTAGCAGTACTTTCATGACATGTAAACGTCTGCTTTTTTTTTTTTCTCTCTCTCAGCTTAAAAAGTCTTTAAATCTAAAGACACTCCTGTGATCCCATTATGGCTTGAGTTCAGTGAGTCTTCTAAAGAGCATGTGTCTCATAGATTATGAAGAACTCTGTCCATTAAGAAGTACACAGATTTATATTTTTACAAAACAAGATCTTTTTATTCTCCTGTTGTTGACATGATACAGGCTTTGGCTTTTGAGGGCTGGAAGATACAGCCCATGACACATTTATATGAGACAGTAATCCATATAGTTTATCTCATGCCCAGAGCTCTGTTGAGAAACAGAACAGAGAGCTGGAACCATAGCTCAGCAATTAAGAGGGCTAGCTACTCTTCCCAGAGATCTAATTGTGTTTACCAGCACCCACGTGCTGGTTCATAGCCATCTATATCTCCATTTTAAGGGCACCTGACATCCTCTTCTAGCCTCCATAGGCACTAGGCAACTAGGCATGTAAGTGGTACAAAGATGTGTGTGTAGAGAAAACACCCATACACCTAAGTTTTTTAAATGTTTAAGAAATATGACAAAAGCCATTTTAATTTTTGTAAATAAAAATAGTATTGGGACTTCTTGTGGCATAAGAATTAATACAAAGGGTTAGGTGTTTAGTGGGTGAAGTTTTGCTATGCAAGACCAGAGTTCAGATCTCTAGCATCCTTATAAAAAAAGCCAAGCATGCTGGCACAGGCCTGTAACTACAGTGCTCAAGAATGAAGGTAGCTAAGTATAGACAACAGGAAGATCCTTGGAGCTGGTCTAGCCAGTCAGTACAAGACCCTGTCTCAAAAAATAAGATAGAAAGTAGTAAAGACACCTAACCTTGACCTCTGATCTCTGCATACATGCACACACACCCACAAACAAAATAGCATACAAATGAACATGTACCACATAACCACACACACAAAGAAAAAATAATAATAGTTTCTTAAGAAGAATTGATAAACCAAATGTAGTGGTTTATATCTGAAATCCCAGCTCATGGAACCAGAGAAAAAAGGATTCTGAGTTTTAGGCCAGCCTGGGCTATATAGTGAGAGCTGGTCTCACAAAACCCAACAGAAAGAAGTAAAAAAGGAATAGCTTCAAAAGCATCTGTTTAGTGAATTATACATAACACTTTTATCTAGTGTGTTCACATTCATTTTAGGCATTCTAGATGTATAAGTATTCATTGGTAGATAAATTCATATGAAACACATATGTAGATTTCCAGAATATTCTTTTTTCATCACTTACTTCATCACCACATACCCCTACCCACCAGTACTACTGAGAATTATGGAATACAGGAATCTGAGCAGTGAATAATAGAGAAAAACAAGGAAGCTGTCACAGGTGGCAGTGGTTTATTCCTAGCAGCAGTCCAGAACAGCACAGTACTGAGTCATGTTGGCAGGATTCCTAAAAAGCAGCTCTCTGTCTCTCTTGCAGGTAAAAAGGACTCCATAGGAAGACAAGTACAGAGAAGAGATAGAACTTCTCTTTTTAATTATTTCTTTTTCCTGAATGTCTGACTTATCTGAAAGGGTTACTTAACAATTGAAGGAAATTAGAGTTGGTTGTTTTTCTATCTTGAATTTTAATATAGTCAACACCTGGTTTCTTAAACTAACAAATTCTTACTTTTGTAAAACAACTAGTTAGTTAGTTAGTTAGTTTGTTTGTTTGTTTGTTTGTTTGTTTGTAGCAGAGTTTCATTGCATAGCCCTGGATGTCCTGGAACTGCCTGTGCCTCCTGAGTGCTGGGACTTAAAGATGTGGGACTCATGGCTTTTTATTTATTATTTTCTTGACAGGATCTCACTATTGACTTTTTTTCCAGCAGAATGTTTTTGAAACCTAGAATTATATTGCAGAAATCTTTAAGAACAACCAAAGCAAAGATTAATAAATTATTTACAGTACTTTTTGAATAAACAAATTAAAATATATGTCAGATGCTTAGTGATTTATACAAAGTTTAATTACATCAAGTAGCCTGATGCTATAAATCTGTTCATTCAGTGTAACAGTAATTTATCAAATGTGTATTTTCACTTACAATTTTCCACTAAAATTGTAAGCTGTTATGAAATGAATTTAATTTTAAGAAAACAAACTTCAGGTATCTTTGGTCAAGGAAGATTTCAAAATCAGTGTCTTATGGGGACTTCTTCCCTTACTTAATTTTGTTTTTATTGCTTTCCCAAAAGTATTAGTGTCTTCAGATCCCAGATCATGTTTCTAGAACCTCTCTAGAATACCCATTTAGGTTAGTGTTCTTTATCACTTCCCATTGTTGACAGCAGAGTCATCCAGAATATCTCTGATATCTGGTGCTCAGGGGTCCATGTGTCAAGAGACAGCTGATTGGCCTTGCTGTGTCTGCTGTACATCCCCAACCAAAATGTCTACATAACTGTTACTAATATATTTGCCATTACCCCTGATGACTTATGCCTATAATCCCATCGTTTGGATGGTGGAAACAGAAAGATCATACAAGCTCAGAGCTAGCCTAGACTTCCTACCTTGTTACAGTTTGGGAATCAGTGCAACTGTGTCTCAATAAAGATTATTTTTCATAGTTTCCTAATAACAGGGAAAGAAATTTAGACAAATATTAAGTATGACACATAACTTTTAACTTCTTGGAGTATTTGTATCTACCAGTTCCCTCCAAATCAGTTACTTTTGAGAAATTAAATTTAAATTAACTCTCAGGCCTGTACTAGTTATTACACAGGATACTCTCATGCCTTTATAGTTTAGCTTCAGTCCTCAGTGAATCCTATCAGTCAAGGTAGCAATGTTTTAGGACCAAAAAGAAGAAAGACTTAAAACGAAATCTTTTACCACTTTCTATAAATTGGGTCTACAGTTAAAAAAAAAAAATAGATATAGCCAGACAGTTGTGGCCCATACCTTTTATCCCAACACTCAGGAAACAGAGGCAGGTAGATCTCATCTTGAACCCATACCACCACCACCCCCAAAAGAAAAAAAAATAGATGCAAATTAATTATTGGATTTGGTCAAGAGCAATAGTACAGTTTTTGATTCTGCCAGCTGCTTCTGCCCTGGTTGATTCATTTGGCCTATATATCTGAGAAATGTATAAGGGCTTTCCTTTGACATGAGTAAGAAAGGAGAGTATTTTGAGCAAAAGGAGACAGAGATACAACTCAGGTACTCAATTGTATATATTTTTTCATTCATTCTTTTTTTTTGTTTTGTTTTCTGTTTTTGAAACAGGGTCTCTTGTAGCCCAGACTGGCCTCAAACTCACTATGTAAGTGAGGATGACTCTGAACTCCAGATCTTCCTGCCTCTACCTTCAAAGTGATGGATCACTGACATGTACCACAGTGCATGGCTCAGATACTCTGAGGGTGTTTTTTGTTTTGTTTTACTGTTTTATTTTTTTTGTGTGTGTATGATATGTGTATGTTTTTGCCCCACTTATGTGCAATGTCCAAGGAAACCAGAAAATCATCTGGAACTGGAGTTACAGATAGTTATAAGCTGCCATGTGGGTGCTGGGAATTGAACCTAGGTCCTCCGGATAAACAGCCAGTGCTCTTAACCACTGAGCCATCTCTTAAGCTCCAAGATACTCTGTTTTAACAAACTTAATGGGGTACCCTTCTAACTGAGCCTAAATATTGTTAATATATCAATGAACATAGTAAAGTCTTTGATAGGATTTAACATGTAATTGAGGTATTATGAAAGAAGCAGTTCATGTGTCAATGGATACGCTTAATGTCGTTATAGGACAGATTCTGAAATATATGAGGATGCAGTAGAACTTCAGCAGTTTTTTATTAGAATTCGTGATGAACTCTGCAAAAATGGAGAGATCCTTCTTTCTCCAGCACTCAGCTATACCACAAAACATTTGCATAATGATGTGGAAAAAGAAAAAAAGGAAAAATTACCTAAAGAAATAGAGGAAGATAAACTAAAACGAGAAGAAGAGAAAAGAGGTTGGTTCCTTTTTACTTATTAAATGTGAAGAAATATTAAAGTCTGTTCTAGCAGGTACCACAGCTCTGGAGAGTCTGTGATTGAGGATTTAGATGGTTGACTATTTCACAGAAGATGTGATGAGATAGAAATCTTGTTATCTTCTGTTCAGTTGTCACATTGATTAAGTTACTCCTGACACAGCTGGTATTCTAGGAACAGGTGGTTAAGTGACAAGTGTGGGGACCTTGTGCCACATACTTGAGGCTTATCTGCATTCTCAGCATCGGTTGCTGCCATGTGGCTTTCCTCTTAAACGCTGTGAGAACCTGACAGGTAGATGAGACTTCAGTTGAACTGCACTTTTAGTTTCATTTTAATCATGCCACCCTAGGTACTTTGAATCATATGCCAAATTTGCAAACATTTGGCAATGGGATTTTGTCATTGCAAAAGTCTGTTTTCTGGAGTGATGAGGGGGTGGGGAGATTGAGACAGGACCTCCCTGTATAACCCAACCTGATGCTAGTGCTGCAGTGATACTCCTGGCCTTGGCCCCAGTGCTGGCATTGTAGGCATGTATCAACATAAGAGGCACAGTTTGAATAACGTTTCAGTTTACATAGTTAACTAGAAATATATAACTCTACAAAAGTTGTATTACTCTGCAGCATCAGACTTTCTTAGCTATTTCCTCCCTAGACCAGAAAACAAAATTGACTTGAAACACAAAATCTTTCTCTGATTCGTCACTTAATTAGCCTCTTGATTAGATGTCACTTTCAAACATGGCTGCTTCCTATACAAACTAACCTTACCTTCATTGTAAGGGATTAAAGGTGTGTACTAAAAGTGCCTGTATTCCAGCCAGATCATACTGTAATCCAGAGTGTGTCTGTATTCCAGCTGGATCCTATCTTTGTATGATCCCTTGCCAGAGTAGCCATGCTGCTGGATTAAAATTCTTCTGTACTCCTGTTAGGATGGTTTTCTGGTTCTGTTTATACAAAATTCTCAAGAATTTTGTGGATCTGCTTTGTACATCACAGGGTTTTACTCTGTAATCAACTATTGGATAACTTTTTTTTTTTAACAAAATTGACAAAACTTCTTATTTTGTTTGTTTTTTTGAGACAAGATTTCTCTGTGTGCCGCTGGCTGTCCTGGAACTCACTTTGTAGACCAGGCCAGCCTCAAACTCAGAGATCTGCCTGCCTCTCTCTGCCTCTCTCTGCCTCTCTCTGTCTCTCTCTGTCTC